TATATATGTATTTATTTCGGAAATTCCCCAACGCAAACTAATTATTTTTTACCGTTAAAAATATATACCTACATTAATACATACTATGTACGTACTTTTATTTTTTTAGTCATTATTTTTTATGCTAACTTTTAAAAGCCTTTGCTTTTGATTTTAAATAAAGTACTTTGCAGCGAGGTAAAATGTTATGAAAGTACTATCCACATATTTTTAACACCTTCCACCCACGAAAACTCATAGGCGTAAAAACAATAGCACATAATCACATATGCATGCTAATTATGTGCATATGGAATTATGTACATGCACATATATTTATGTATATATATTAGGGTGCCCATCGAAATTTTTTTTTTTTTAATTCAAGACCCTACCCCCTAATTTCCTTCCTTTCTATGAGAAATACTATTTCCTATTTTTATAGATTTTTTAAAAATCAATTAAAGGTCGCGACATGTCTTTTTAGGTTGTTGTTGTTGTTGTTGTAGCGGCTTTTTAGGTCAGAAAGTACGGTTTTGTAGATTTAAAATGATGTATAATAATCTATTGTCAGACTTGTATTGTTGGGATATTTCATTTTTTCTTATTTTTTTAAGTTTTGACCATCACTATTTACACAATTTCAAAATATGTAGTATTTACCTTCTAAAACTAAATCTATTTTTAAATAAACTGACAGCTCATTAGGCATCCTAATGTGTATGTAGATATGTTTTTATAAACAAAATCATACATATGCATATGCTTGATGGCTAATGCCAACTCGAAAACCACAAAACTGCATTTCAGCTGCGGTCTAACCAGAGTTCTAGTTCAATGCCGCCACAGTAGCGCTATGATTTTGCCTTTAAATATTCCACACCCATGTAAGATAAATGTGAATATGAGAATTTGTGTGTGCGGGTGTTACGCCCTACAAAACCGCTGTGATGACCTTTAAATGCAAACTGTATAGCATTGTTATGTAATAAGAAAACGAGAGGTTATATCTACAAAACTACCGTTTTTCGAAACTCACAAGTAAACTATGTACAAATAAGAATTATATGTAGTATGGACTTTTCTTTCTTTTACTGTTAATATACCCTTAATGAAAGAGTAGGATTTGCTAATTAGTTTATTGAAATTATTAAATTAAATCTGAAAGGAATAAAAGCAATAAAAATGGCTAAACGGAATAATTGAATCTGGATGCATCCCATAAAGGCATAGGGTGCGTTCTTTTTTTGTTTTTGCTTAAATACATTTGACTATTGCCNAAATTAAATCTGAAAGGAATAAAAGCAATAAAAATGGCTAAACGGAATAACAGAATAAATAGATAATTGAATCTGGATGCATCCCATAAAAGCATAGGGTGCGTTCTTTTTTTGTTTTTGCTTAAATACATTTGACTATTGCTAGAAGAGGAAAATTATTACTGTTACAGCTTGAAGTCATCTTTAGTTGCATCAGCGCTAGTTACACATGTTTACACATACAATGTAATCAGAGAAAATGTAATCAAAGAAAATTGAGGCCTAACGACTCGACTCGATCAACAACCGCAGCGATTGTCCAAAGAACACAAAGCATTGAAATGCAATGCAATTGGAATAAATATATAAACAACAATGTAAATGTTTGAGTAGGCATTATTCAGGCAGCAACAGGATTTACATACATACATATCGTCGTTTAAAGTACAAAACCGCGTATCGACATTCTGCAAAACCGCATACATACTTAACTGGCATTTGCTGCCAAAAATTAGATTTGCTCACACAAGCTTACTTATCCATTCGTCCTGAAATGTACTAGCCAGAAATGCGATTACTTTATAAAAAAGAGAACCATTTAGAAATATGAGTGTTTTTACTCTCTAGAAAACAATTTATGCAACCTCACATACGCTATTTTGCATTTTGTTGATACGCGGTTTTGAACTTTAAACGACGATATATTTATGCAAATATACATAAATATAAGGAGGATTTATGTTTATTATTGGGGTTGATGACTAAAAGCGTTTTCTGTTCTCAAAAAAAGTTCTGCCCTTTTATAATGAAACAAAAAATATACTACTCCATCACAAATTATTTATAGAACTCAATAAAGTTGAATTGTTCACTTGGCCTGTAAGTCTTTAATAATTTTAAAGCAAAACATTTATTTCTGATACGGAAAATAATTGTATTTTTACAAGCGTAAATTAAAAATCAACACTCTCCCTCACGTTTATTTGAGGGCAGAAAAGGCAGCACTTTTGCCGGATCAGAGCGCAACCTACTGAGAAAAGATCACGACGCCTTGTGAAAGGGCTGAGAAAAGAAAATGAAAATGTGTCAGCGCTAACACAAGGCAGAATAAGTGCAGCCTTTTTCGAGAGCAGAATACAGACAGAGCTAAGTCAATAATATTTCGCAACATAGCGTATATAGTTTGGGATTAAATACATATATGCAATTATCGTGTTTTTATAAACATTAGAAGTCTTCACACCGAAGCTTGGTACTGGGTAACTCGGTGTTCGGTAATTTTTCCCCATGTGTTTTGTTTGTGTAACACTATTTTACACAAACAAAATACTTTACAAAAAAGAACCGAACACCCGAGTTACCTAGTACCCAGTTCGGTGTGGTGGATCGCAACTATATATAACCACTCGACCACGGCGACCGATGATGATATTCTATCTTAATTAGCAATAAAACTAAATAGAATAGAAGAATGTAATTAAACTCAAAGAAAATACATGCATAAAAATGCAAGTATGCATACACATACATACATACATACTTATTATGTATAAAGCAACGACGCATTTTGTTATTATTCTTCAGCTGACGCAAAAACAAAGAATATGTTCCCAGTATATAATTTAGGTAGGTGTTCTTAAATGAAGCTTACCCAAGAAGAGCTGAAAAAGAGCTTCCCCGCAAGCCTTCAACAAGAGTTTTTCCTATTACAATTTACGCAAATATAAACCTAAGTTTACATTATTTAGAATTAGAAATTAATTTCAATATAGTTTATAAACCTTAAAAAAAAAACTTTAAATGTACATAAAGAAGCAACTTTAAATGAACTCCTCCAAACGCTGTTCCGAATGCCTTCTATGTGGAGCAAAAGCAGAAATGCATCAATTTGTGCCACTTCATAATGCAAAGAAAAGTAAAAGGAATCTATACAAGAAATTATCTACTGGGTAAGTACATATATATGTATGCATACACAAAATTGTAGACAAAGCTTTGAGAAAAGTGAACAGCAAATGCATAACTGGAAATTTTTGTTTTCAAACACCTTAAACTGAATTGATAAAAATAGAAATCGGCAATAAATAACACTTTGTTTTTTTTTCTTCCTGATAACAAGTTTTAACGAGTGCGAAGTGTTAGGCCCTTAAGGTTAACAGTTTGAAAAACAAGTAATTTTTAAGCAAAAAAAAACCAACTCTAATTCTCATAAAAAAATTTAAGAGTACCGCTAATTTCTTCACGATAAAAAGATGAGATCTAAACCAAATTAGTATGGGACCACCTCCGAGGTACCATCTTTAATCTAGGAAACATTCAGTTTCGACGGGGTCGGATCAATGGGATAGGAGTTTGGGGTACTGTTTGCATATTTATAGAACGATTTTAGGTTGCTGTGCCCAAAACGCGCAATTCGAATCAAAAAACTTTTACACACACTTGTAGACAACTTCACGCCTAATTACAAAAATAAAATTTACTATATCTGTGAACTAATTTATTAATAATGTCGGTTCGAAATGTGGTACTTTTTGCAAATTTCCGTGCTGAGCTGTCAAACAAAAAATATCCACGAAATATCTCTGCAAAAGGTGTTCAGCCCCTCTTCTTCGACAACACAGAAATGAGAATTGTATTTAGTTAGTGAGGGTTATAATTCTTTCGCAAAAAATCTTAATTTTCCCTATTTTCAACCAGCTCCCTAACCCTCCGGCCTTTACCACAAAACCGTTGTACAAATAAGCAAACATTTCCCGGGGTTTGTGTTGAGTATTCACTCCTGCCTGGTTATTTTGCTAATATGTAGATAGATATGTATATGGTTATATTTTGAAATTCGCAACATTAAAATACCATAGGGCTGTTCAGGATTTTGTGGAATTGGTCTTGGATTTGTAGTTGGAATTGCATTTGCAAAATTTTTCGCTTGCTGCCATGGCAACCGTGTGCATGTTATTGTTATAAATTTACAACGAATGTGCAAATCCAAGAGCATATGCACAAGATCCTAAATAGCCCTAATGATAATTAGGGAAGTGTGTATACCATTTATATTAAAAGCGCAAGTTATTTTAAACGTTAAAAATGATATATGTAAATACTTCTTTTTTTTCATTGTCAAGATTGCAAGATGAATTGTATATACATACTTCATATAAAATGCTTCATTATTGAAAAAGCAATTTGTACATATCGTTTTATGTACTATTAATTATATACGTATGTACTTTAAATAAAAAAATATTTCCCCATAAATCAACCAGCAATTCGCTGGTATCGATAACAGCAGCTACGCTTCATGCATCAGTGGAGGCGGTGCAACCAAGCGACATTCCCAATCGCCGCTATCGCCACTGATTGAAAGCAGGCAGACGCAAACCCTTTATTTTGTCCCTGCATGACTAATTAAAAACACGATAGTAAATGGCAAAATAAACACCGCAAATAAATATATATATTCGTCATACAAAAACCAAAATAGAAGAATAATGGAATAACAAAAAAGCCCATGTTGAGGATTTGTTGAAAATCTGAAAACGGCGAATAACCATACAATAGCAGCTGTGCTAATACCGCACAAACAACAGAGCAATAATCGAATTATACATATGTACTGTTGCAATTTGCGCAATAAGTTGAAACTTAATTTAGGTGTAGGATTTTACTAGAAATTAAGCATACCTCATAGATTACTGTTGGAAGTATATATGTGTATATGTAAGTATATGCAATAACTTTAGATTCTAATTACAAATTACTCACCGCAAATTATAGCGCTGCAAACGCTCAGTATTAAAGCCAACGTCACAAATTTATTATGAAACATTTTTACTTCTAGTACTTGTAGTTGCACAGATTCTGCTCCTTATAAATACTGATAAAAGGTTAGCTTTGTTGGAAACACCGCAATTTGCAGAAGGTAGCTTCTACTTCGCTATAACGATTTTCCTAGCCTTCCACAGATTTGCCTGGCTTGTTCGAACGCAAAATTCCAGCAATTTTCATCTAGCTCAACAAAAAACCATTGGCGTTTGTTTTTGTATACAATAAATTTATCTACTAAATTCGTTTGCTTTATTAGTGTCTTTTCAATAGCAAAAAATAAATTTATTATTTCTACTTCAGTTTCTAGGCCCCTCAAAATTTTCTACGTCTTTTGTTCTTGCTGCTTTTTCACGCACTTGAGTTGTGCAAAATGCAAAAACAACAATTGACGAATGAAACGAATGATTCAGCTGATTCAGCGAGTGTGCGCCCTCTGTAGGTGAAATAAGTGTCATCTATAAGGTCTAATGTAGCGAACACACTCCGTAATAAATTGTTAGCTGTGTTCCCATGAACGAAAGACACAAGATCACGTAAGAACAAGAGAGTGAAAAAAGTCGATTTTTTAGGTCGGTGTTATGCAGAAATTTTGTTTGGCAAACTGCGTGCAATTGTTGTTGCAGCAAACTCGGAGAGAGCGAGTTTCGCGACTCTCACAGCAAACTAATTTTGTTTGGTCAAACTGCAGCAAATTCTGTGTTGTCACATACAAAAATTTTAGACAATTGTTGATATACACAAAAATTGCCGTGATACCGAAGGCTTGAGAACAGAATTAATGCTATAGGAGCTTCAAAGATAAGGGCACAGTTAATTGCCTATACGATATCATAAAAATATATTAATTGTGCGCGTTATGTACATCTGAAATTTTTATATCGTGTTGGCAATGGCCATGAAAACCATAATGAACGCGCAACCCTGTGCCAAACTCGACATAACCACCTCCGAGCAAACTAAGCAGCCGCCATTTAATTTGGCAAACAAAAGTTTGTCTGCATAACACCGACCTTAGCGGGTTCTACGCCATCTTGTTTCACTGGAAAACGAGCGAAAAGTAAACAAAGCAAAGAAAACAACGAAAACCAAAATTAGCCAAAATTATTGTCAGCCACTTTAAACGCAAAATTTAGGTAAAATGATGCAACAAAATGCTTTAAAATGTGTTGTCATGTTGAACTATCTCTTCTTTACTTGAATAAAAGTGTAAAATAGTGGTGCTTGTGATGTAAACAAACGCCCAGCTGACGAACCCGCTTTCGCAAACTTTTTTCTCAAAACCAGTTACAAATACAACGTCGCGTTCTTACGTGATCTTGTATTTTTGGTTCATGCCATGATACAAAAAAGAAGGTAGTTCCATTGTCACTTTTTCGTCGCCATATTAATCACCTGACAATTAAGCAGATTATGACATTCCGTGCTACCACCCATTATCAAAAAAATATTTTTTTTTATGTCAAACGTTAAATAAAATAAATATTCTGCGTTAAAATTTGGTTTGAATTCAAAAAAAAATACATAAAAAGAAAAAAATGAGCTGTTTATTTAATCAATGCTCGAATACAAAACATTTAAGCAGCAAAGGTACAGAGGTAAGGTTCTTCCAATTCCCCGTTATTCCGCACATTCGTGAGAAGTGGCTACTGACATGCGGTGTTATGGAGTGTGACTTACCCAAAGTTCCTTACATATGCTCAGCACATTTTGCAAATAATGAAATATCGTTAGCCAAGAAGACTGCACGATTAAGCCGAAGTGCAGTGCCAAAGTGTAAAAAGTAAGCATGATAATCGCAAATGTGACCAAAACTTTGATATTCATAATTTTCAGTAGTGAATCAGAAGAAACGGAAGAGAATTGGAAAAATATTTCACTTATTTGGAGGGGTATGTGTTTTAAACTTTCCTATAAGCTGAACAAGAAAAACATGTTCATTTGAATTTATTTAGAAGTGAAGAAAATCTGTTTGGAATTGAACCAACAGGGATTTCTCGAAAACTTGTTAGAAGTACTTATACAAGCGTTTCAACTTAAACTGAGTAAGATAATACTTCTACTCAAACAGATTCGCATTATATATATATGTACGTGAATATTTATGTATATATTTATCTTAG